CCAGACTTGCAAGGTAGAATTCATATCATGATAGTGGGAGCGGGGAGGAAACATTTAGGAACTAGAGAAAAGTTGTATTTTTCATTGTTGCTACATTAGTTTTGGTAGCAAGGCTTTCTCAATGAAAGAAGCATGCTGTAACCAATGTTCGTTCTAGTGTAAAATCTTTGTCTCATAAACATTCCATGGACAAGTATTTTAACTCTGATGTAGATAGATATCAATAAAAGCCTTCTATTTTATACTTGCAAAACATAATATGATTTGTATTTGTACCGATAAAATATAGAAAACCAAATTTATTGCCACTGAATCTATCTCAACTCATAGTGACCCTATAAGACAGATTAGAACTGCCCAGCCCAGTGCATAACTCACACCACCACCAGAGCTCCTTGATAAAAGGTATAAGTAAAGGAAATGTCTAAAAGAATTATTTCTCTATCTCAGTAAGTTTAAAAAGCCTTTAAAAGAAAATAATCATAATTTGTAATGTTGGAAAGTTTTTTTAGGGGGGGGAACTTAATGATTGATAATATTTAAGTGATCATTTCCTCTCAATCTTATTCTTCTAAATACAAAAATGTCTTGCTAACTTTTTTGAGATTCTAAAACATGGTAATTCATTATATCTTCATGAAATCCCACTATGTAAATCCTTTGTGTGATGCTGCTACTTACATATCACTTTGTGTTAAAGTAAATTAATCCTACTTTTTAAATATATTGTTTCCTCTAGGGTTCCCTGTGTAAGTATTTGAGTCTTCATACAAGTGACTGGGTAAGCTCCTGCCGTCTGGCTCATTCTGTGACCAGAGGACTGGCTTATCTTCACACAGAATTACCACGAGGAGGTAAGACAATAAATAAAGGAATGACACTCTTAGGAGATCAAATTTCACAAAGAAATTTTAATCACATCTTCAAAGTAAAGGATATTTTTTATTGTAGCCAGTTGTTTCAAAGATCTGCCATGAAAAAACGTTTGAAATGGAAATGTTTTGAGAAATGATGTACAGATACGCTTTACACAATTGATGTGTGTATGGATTGGGATAACAGTTGTATGAGCCCCTAATAAAATGTTAAAAAAAAAAAAAAAGACTTTAAATCTTCACAAGGAAAAAAAAAAAAAGAATAAGAAAAAGATCTTTAAGACTCAAGGAGTCATGGTTTCCTTTGAGAATTAGATTAAACCTCTGAACTTTCCTTGTAAAGACACAGATATAGGCATACTTAGAAAAGGGTTTTGATGATTCTAGGGCAGGCGCCCTCAAACTACGGCCCACGGGCCACATGCGGCCCGCTGGACAGTTATCCAGCCCGCCGGGTGTTTTTGCCCTGTTTGTTTTGTTACTTCAAAATAAGATATGTGCAGTGTACATAGGAATTTGTTCATAGTTTTTTTTTAAACTATAGTCCGGCCCTCCAACGGGTCTGAGGGACAGTGAACTGGCCCCCTATTTAAAAAGTTTGAGGATCCCTGTTCTAAGGGGTTCTCAGGCCCCTTGAAAACCCACCAGTGATGCTTTGGTTAAGAACCTCTGAGCTAAGCTATATTTTGTTTTCCTTTTATTTGTCATGTTTATTTAAATAAACTACAATGTGTTACTACTTCTTTAATTTTAACATTGCATGACTCTTTATGTATAAAACTTAAATGTATCTTGTTTTAAATCAGTGGTTCTCTAGGTGAGAATTTGGTTTTACCAAATCCACCAAGAGGCAAAAAGTAGTAGCTTCAGTAAGAGAGGTTTCCCTGTCTTATGTCAGAATCTAAAGCTAAGCAGCCTAGGGTTGTTTGGACAGCATTGGTATTGTCAGGGCCCCTGGTGCTTACATTTCTTCCCACCACCCTTCTTTATGGACGGCTGCCCTTTTCAAGGTGACCTCATTGTTTATCACACTGTGCTCCTAGTCAGCAGAAAAAGGAAGGGGAGATAGAAGGAATTGTTCCTCGCTGGCTCCAGAAGCTCCATTCTTCTGTTGCCACACCTACCTGCAAAGGAGGCTGAGAACATAGGTTTTCTGCTTCATATTTGATCCGGGTACATTGCTTTCTGAAATAAAATTGATTTCTGTTACCAAGTAGCCAGGGAAAAATGGATGGTGGCAGTCAGCCGTGCCAGTTTCAGACCTGTGTGGTTGTGTTCTTTAACTCCTGTGTTGCTCGGCTCCAGTGTGCATTTTTGCTAGATGTTCAGAGTTTCTCTTGAATACATTTGCTTTCACACTTTGTTTCAAAATACACCTCAGATCACAGGCACCTTTAATTTAGCTTTGCTGTGAAAATTCTGTCTCCATGCTTTCTTATAGCTTTCATCCTTCATAGCATTTTCTTATTATATTGTAGCCCAGGACGGTGCTTTTTAAGTCTCTCAGACTTCTGTTGTGTCCTTAATGTATCAAGTTCTTGGGTCTTTGTTCCTGTTCCACATATTATGGCTGTGGATCATCTTTTCTAGCTAATGATTCATATATAAATAATTTCTCCTGAATAATTTATTAGCTCACTTATCTGGACATCTTGCTTTTCCTGAATACGGAATTGACCACTGCTATTTCCTATGTCAGCAACTTGATGCACATTAACAATTTTAACTGTGTTACCTTACTCTTAAATACTATTATAAGTCCTTTTTAAAAAGCTGGCTTAGCAAAGATCTTAAAATACCATCCTAATCCACTTTTCAAATCTTGAATTTAATTCAGCTCAGGTTTTTAGTCAAATGTTGGCAGAAAAAATAATTGTCTTCAAATATGAATTTTATTTAAACATAAATATTACTCTCAAGTGAGCCCTGATGGTGTAGTGGTTAGAAGTTGAGCTTCTAAATGGAAGGTCAGCAGTTCAAAAGCACCAGCCAGCTCTGAGGAAGAAAGATGAGGCTTTTTAATCTCATAGAGTTACAGTGTCGGAATTATATGATATGTAAATTACTTGCCAATAAAACTATTGAGAGGCTGGTGGTTACAGTATCAGAAACTCACAGGGGCAGTTCTACCGTGTCCTATAGAGTTGTTATATATCAGAGTTGATTCCATGGCAGTGAGTTTGGTGGGGTTTTTTGGTATTACTCTCAAACATTACCTAATATTGTTATTAAACAATTACCTTTTTTAAAAAATTGAGTATATCAATACCATTATGATTTATATAGTAGCTGTTTGAATTTATGATTTTACCTAAGCATCTTAGAAAGCTTCTCATTCCATGCCATTTTAAATCATCCTCCGCAGTATCCTCAGATGTAAATTTTCTGTTTAGGTTAGTAATTTAGAAGGTAGGAACAATACTAGTATAAATGCTTAATCATCTAATAGATTCTCCTATGAATTTTTTACTTAGGATAACAGAAACAGATTTTTATCTCCTCCCCTCCCCCCCACACACCCAAAAAAATGCCAGTGAAGGAAGAACATTATTCAAACCTTACAGGAAAAATTACCATGAACTGATTTGTCTTATATCTTTCAAGTTTTCTTTTGCTCTTTCTGTGTGTATATGTGTATGTAAATATCTACAGAGAAGCTATTTTTAGTTCGCGTTTTGTTTTTAACATTAAAACAATCGTATGTATCATACTTTGCTTTGACATCTTTGTTATTCAGGGAAGGATTTGCTTAGTATAGTCATGTCACCCAGAACACAATCACTGTATGTCCCTTTCACCAGAAAGCTTAAAATGAGTACTGAGGGCACCTTAAGATGGAAATGGATTAGTTCTCTGAAGTGTAGTCTATAGTAGTGAGCGCTTTCCTTTGCACTGGGGATGGCCCAAAGGTTAGTGTCTTGAGTTTTACCTGTGCAGTGCCTCTATTTTCTTTCTTTTTTCTTTTCTTTTTCTCTTAAAATAGTAGCAGGAAGTGAAGCTCTTATTTCTCAACATATCCTCTGCATAGGTTTATACACTTTTGAAGGCTATTTTTCTGTCTCTCTACCCTTTCCCCAAAAGAGTCTGACATCTGTTTTACACCATGTTAAAACGGCAGTTCTGCCATGCTCAAGGGATGCATATCATCTTCCTTTTCAATGTTTTTTAAGTTTTGAGGGGGGAAAAAGTAGTGTGAAGGAGAAAAATCAGGGCTGTAGGATGATGGGGTAATGTTTCTCATGCAGTTCTCATAGGACAGCTCTTCTACCCACAAAAGAATGAGCAGGTGCATTGTGATGGGGAGAAAATTTCCTCAGTGCAACTTACCTGACCTTTTTCTTACCAATTCAGTTTTTGTTTTCCATAAAAAGTCTTTATAACAATCTCCCATGACCATTATCTTCTTGGAATTTGAATTCCCAAAAAAAGTTGCCATAAACTTTTAAGCTAGACCTCTCTGCCTTAAATTCATTTTTGAAATCTTCTCAGACTTTCTTAAAACTCTAGATACATCTTAAAATTGTTGTTTCATTTGGGGCAGCATTCCTGTAAATTTGCTGTAAAGCTTTGTTGATTAGAGTTTTGTTATTAAGTATTTTTGTTTGGAATACACCCATGCATGTATGAAATGGAATCAGTACTGAGCCTGTTTATATGTAAATACAAATACTCAATAAACTTATCATTGACTTTGGTCTGATTGCCTATTTCTCAGTATACATAGGAATTTCAAAAACTGGTGTAAAAGTTTTTTTCCTTCTAGAACTATGGATTTGTTTTTATACGAGGCCTTATAAAAGATTTTCTTAAAGGTAGGAGAAAATAATGTGTAGCATTTTAAATAAAGGGTTTAGATTAGATTTATTCTGTCAACAAACATTTATTGTGGATCTACTCTGCCAAGTTTTTAAAATTCAGGTAAAACATGAGTTCTCTCTCTACCTTCAAGGATTATGTAGTTTAGCGTTAACACATAGAGATGTAAAAAAAGTCAGAAAGCAGGTTTTTGTATCCTGCTCTTAGAAGACAGCAGCTCCTCCACTTGTCCTCCCTCTCAGTCCATTATAAAGAGACTTTTGGTTAGATTTGAAGAATTGAAGTGGCCTTAGAGACAGGGCTAAGCCTCAGGGTGTGACTGATGTACCCCACAAGTGTACATTAGCACTATTAGCACTGAAGACGACATAACATTTCCAACAAATCTTGGAGACACTTCAGGTTTTCATTAGTACTTATTTTATGCAAGTTTTTTTTTATGTTGTTGTTTATGCTCAATGTTTTTCATTTTTGCTTCTTTTGCTACCCTAGATAGTAAGAGGAAGCTTCAGTATATGTTAGGATTAGAAATAGCATCTGGTTGATTATTAGATACAAATGAAGTTATTTGATAACTACTTAACCATACATACAAGAAGCCGTATATTGTAAAATAATAGAAAATGATCATGATTTTAAGTTTTGATTACTTTTGTCCTTTAGTGATATTAGAAAATCGATGGGCCAAAATGCCTTCTATAACAGTTCTCAACCTGTGGGTCGCGACCCCTTTAGGGGTCGAACGACCCTTTCACGGGGGTCACCCGATTCATAACAGTAGCAAAATTTACAGTTATGAAGTAGCAACAAAAATAATTTTATGGTTGGGGGGGTCACCACAACATGAGGAACTGTATTAAAGGGTCGCAGCATTAGGAAGGTTGAGAACCACTATAGTAATATTTTCCATAATATTCCATGCTCATATCCAATATGTACCATACAACAAAATTAGCTGTGTAAATATTAATACTTTTTAAAAATTATCTACACAGATCATTACAAGCCTGCAATTTCTCATCGAGATTTAAACAGCAGAAATGTCTTAGTGAAGAACGATGGAACCTGTGTTATTAGTGACTTTGGGTTGTCTATGAGGCTAACAGGAAATAGACTTGTACGCCCAGGGGAAGAAGATAATGCAGCCATCAGTGAGGTGGGTGTTCAATGTATCAGCTCATTTAGGGAATCCTCCCATCTTAACTTACTTCGCAAGCATTAGAAAGAAGTTTGTATGAACTAATGTATTGTTTTCTTATTTTGGTAAGGACACATCTAACAAAACATTTGTTATTTCATCATGTTCATTTCAGTGCCATATTAATGACATTCATCATTTTGTACAACTATCTCCACTATCCATTTTCAGTTCAGTGCCCCATAAGTTATATAGGAATTGATTTTTGAAGCAAGGATAAAAGTGTACTGGTTTTGAGTTTGCAGATAATCACCCTTTGGTTGACATAATTTCCTTTCTGAATGTCTGCAAATATAGGAGAATATAATGTGTGATTTAGCCTGTTGTACTATTAACTTCTCAGTTTATGGCAGTGAATATAAATGAGTCACTGTCATAACTACCTGACTGTGTGTGTCATTATTATGCATTCCTTACAATTCACCACTGCTTACAGTAGTCTGGAGATGCCTTTGAGTGTGTCGACTCTAAACTCTTGCAAGAGATATTGGGATCACACTTCATTATACCTATGCCTAAAGTTTAGAAACATAAGGTCATTTTCCAGATGCCAGGCAAGCAGTGGACACTGTTGTAAATATCATGATAATTAAGTAAACTTGATTAGAAGCTTAAGCCTACAGATTGATAAGACAGAAATACACTGTACTATTTTTTTAAAACTAGCTGTTCTTAGCCAAGGGTGACCTTGTACCTCAGAGAACATTTGATAATGTCTGGAGTGTTTTTGTATATCCCAACTGGGGAGGGGAGGGGAGGGTGCTACTGGCTTCTAGTGAAGTTTGCTAAATATTATATAATGCACATAATAGCCCCACACAAAGAGTTATCATTGAGAATGTTGGTCGTGTTGCCATTGACAAACCCTGGTTTAAATGAAAAACGTTAGTCTATGTTCTAGAACCTTAAATATTATGGTCACTTTTATTCTCATGATTTTCAAGGCCTTTAGCACAAATATAATATGATTTATCTATATTCATAGCCATCAAATAAGCATATTTAATATTTTGTTTCTTTAATTATACAAGTGATACATGAACAGATTCTCATGAAAGTTTGTGGTACTTACTGTAAAGTAAACCTCTTTTCAAATGCCCTCCCTAGAAATAATTACAATGAAAATTGTGGACCATGTTATTCCTGTCCTTTTTCCTCTACATTCATGTAGATGTGTCTATTTATATACAAATGTAATTTTGTGAGTTTTTAAAAAGTACTAAATATCCATATTGTTTTGGAATTGTACAAATTTAAGATGGTGCAACTGGATAAATATTGATGGCTAACCAAATGGCTGGTGGATCAAACCACTGTGCTCCCATAAGGATTTACAAAGTTACAGAAACATCTTACAGAGTCGCCATGAGTCAGGATTAGCTCCATTGCAGTGGGTTTGGTTTGGGGGTATTGTTATCTTACAGATTTTACTGTGCTGATATATTGATACATGTGGGAGAGCTAGTTCATTCCTTATGAAGGATGAATAGTACGCAATAGTATGGATTTATTACAGTTTATTCAGGAGGAGCACTTTTAGGTGAAAAATCACATACAGGAATAGACACACGTTAAACTAAAAACCATCTTCATTACCATTGAGTCGATGCTGACTCATAGTCGCTCTATATGCAGGGCAGAGCTGCCGCCATAGGTTCTGAGACTGTAACTCTTTATTGGCGCAGACAGCCTTATCTTTCTACCATGGGGCAGCTGATGGTTTCAAACTACTGACCTTTCAGTTTTCAGTTTGAGACATACATACTTAGAATCAAATCACATTATTGACATAATCAAAAATTTACATAAAACTGTCCTTTATAACATGCTGTATTCTGTTACTTACAAATATCACTCTAATTTATCAGGTTGGCACCATCCGATATATGGCACCAGAAGTGCTAGAAGGAGCTGTGAACCTAAGGGACTGTGAATCAGCTTTGAAACAAGTAGACATGTATGCGCTTGGACTAATCTATTGGGAGATATTTATGAGATGCACAGACCTTTTCCCAGGTAAAAGAATGATTGTCAAAAGTTGATACATGTTTTGAGGTGAAAGTTGTGTTTTTTCTACCTATATTAAATAACGTGTGTTTTCTTGCTGTCATTTAAACCTTTAGTTCATTGCCATCTAGTGTTCATGGAGAACATTAGCCGAAGGATGTGATTCAGGAAAAAATTTTAAAGGATTCCAAATTTGTGTCGAGTGGAGTTTAATTACTTGTTTATAGCTTATTTAACTGCTTAATTTGGTCTTCGATAGCTTTGATGTAGAAGTACCTCCTCATCTGTGGTTTTGCTTGCCAAAGTTTCAGTTAATCCCAGTCAACTGCAGTCCAAAAATAGTAGCTGGACACTACATCACAATGCATGCATCATTCACCTCAGTTTATTGCATAACATTTGTAACAGAATATTATTTTAACTATTTTCTTTGATTATTAGTTATTGTTAATGTCTCAGTACACATGACTTAAACTACTATCATAGATATGGATGTATTGAGAAAAACATGGTGTATGTATAAGATTCGCTACTATCTGCGATGACAGCTTGTCCTGTCATTTTGTGATTGATTACGTGTTCCTGTTATGCTGACACTGTGCCATCAGGGTTAGAAATACCAGTATGGCCTTTAATGGACTTCCAGACCAAGACTAGGAGAAGCCTTGGCGTAGTGTCATAGTGGTTAGGTGTTGGTTGCAATCTGCAAGGTCCACAGTTTCAAATCAGATGAAAGTGAGGCTTTCTACTCCTGTTAACAGTTTCAGTCTATGAGTTAGCATCAACTTGATGGCAGTGAGTCTGAGACCAAGATCGACTGGGAAGAAGGACCTTTTAAAGAGTTAACTAGTGGAAACCTTATGAATAGCAACAGAACACTTATATAATACCAGAAGATGAGCCTCTTCGGTTGGAAGGCACTCAAAATAGGATTGGAAAAGAGTGACCTCATCAAAGTAATAGTTGATCTTAGTGATTCAAATTAAGTAAAGCTTTCAGGACCTTCATTTGCTGATATAGCACAACTCAAAAATGAGAAGAAACAGCTGCAAACATCCATTAGTAATCAGAATGTGGAATGTAAGAATTATAAATCTTGGAAAATCAGAAGTCATCAGAAAAGAAATGAAACATTTAAAGAGCATTAGTGAGTTGAGATGAACTAGTATTCGCCATTTTGAATTGGACAGTTATATGAACTACTATGCCAAGATTGACACGTTGAAATGGAATAACACAAAGAACATTTCAAGATCTATCTTAAATGCATGCTTTCATTGATAATATTCATCTGCCTCCATCTGCCACTAATTAATACAATTGTGTTTCAAATTTTTGTACCATTTACTACTGCCAAAGATAAAGAAATTTAACATTTTAGCCAACTTCTATGGTCTGAAGTTGATCAAACATATAATCAAGATGTATTTATAATTAATTACTAAGAATTTGGGTGCAAAAGTTGGAAAACAAGAAGAAGATTTGGAAAATATGGTCTTGGTAGAGAAACAAGACTGCAGATTATGATAGAAATTAGCAAGACCAATGACATATATTGGAAATGCCATTTTTCAACAAGTCTTCAAGAATCAAAGCACAACCATGAATAGATTTAACACATTGAAGACCAGATGAGTTTTGAGATGACATTAAAGGCATCCTGTGGGAAAAAAAATAGAAGGTTATTAAAATATAGGGAAGAATGTAAATTACAAAATGAATGACAGAAGAAACTCTGAAACTTGCCTTTGAACATCGAGTAGCTAAAGCAAAAGGAATAAATAATGAAGTAACAAAGCCGAACAGAGAATTTCAAAGAATGCCTCAGTAAGACAGTAAAATATTATAATGAAATGTGAAAAGGCTTGGAAAACTAAAATGGAAAAACATGCTGGGTATTTCTTAAGCTGAAAGAGCTAAAGAAAAAATTCAAGCATTGAGTTGCAAAATTGGAGAATTCTGTCGACAAGATATATATATATATATATATACACACACACACACACACACACACACACATAGCACAGTATAGGAAGAATCAAAAGAAGATGGAAGGAATACACAGAACCACTGTACCTAAAAGAATGATCTATTAAAAAAATGATCTATGCTCAACCATTTCAGGAGGTAGCATATGATCAAGAACAATTGAAGGAAGAAGTCCAAGCTACACTGAAGGCATTAGTGAAAAGCAAGGGTCCAAGAATTGATTAAATAAAACACTGAAAGGCTCACTCATCTATGCAAAAAAAATTGGAAAGCTATCTGGCCAACCAAGTAGAAGAGGTCCAATCTGAGCCCATTCCAAAGAAAGACGATTCAACAGAATGCAGAAATTAATGAACAATATCATTGATATCACATGCAAGTAAAGTTTGCTGAAGATAATTCCAAAACAAGGCAGCAATGTATCAACTGTCCGAAATTGAAATTATTCAGAAGAATGAAGGGTAACATTGCTGTTTCAAATGGATCTTGGCTAAAAATGGAGAATATCAGAATTATTTACCTGTGTTTTATAGACTTTGTGAAGGCACTCAACATGTGGATAATAACAAATAATGGATAATATTGCAGAGAATTGGAATTCCAGAACTTGCTCAAGCGAAATCTGTACATAGACCAGGACGATTGTTTAAAAGATCAAAAGACAGTCATTGAACAGAACCTATAAAGTTTAAAATCGGGAATGGTGCACACCAACGATGTATCCTTTCACCAAGCATACTCTAAAATTTACATGCTGAATGAATAATCTGAGAAACGGGGCTTGTTTTAGGGTACAAAAGAGACTCCAATCTTAAATATAATTTAAGAAGGACACTTAGTACATTTTAAAAGAGACAAAGACAGCTCAAAGACACAAGACATCACGTGGATGAGGGAAGTCACTAGCACGAAGTCACAATGGCTTCTGGGGGTTTACAGTCAGGACGCTAGTTAAATAAGGCGTGGAACTGTCACAGATTCACTGTGGGTGCTACATCAATACATCATAGGCACAAGTGTGACTACAGAAGTGGGAACAGGGCATGATTGAGACATGTACATTGTATTAAATACAGGAGCTTACAAGATTGGTCCAGGGCCTTCAAACCATGACAGTCAGGGAAGGACTGATAGGTCATGACTCGTGAACCCCCCAGTACTGTCCATCAGGGACATATCCAGGCAAGCCCCTAAGAGACTGTCCCTCCCTGGGCTGGCTGGAGAATGGTGGATATAATCCATTTTCCATTGCACTCTGCCCGAGGGCAAGATTTATGTACATCCTTGGTTAATGATCAGAAAGAATTCAGTGGAGGCTAATCTACATGGGGACTCTGCAAATGGATTTTAGATTTTCACTGCCATTCATTTCTCATTGCCTTTGAGTCGTTGCCAACTCATGACAACCCTGTAGGATAGAGTAGAACTGTCCCTGTGAGTTTCAGAGACTGTAACTATTTACGGGAATAGAAAACCCTTTTTTTCTCCCAAGGAGTGGCTGGTGGTACTGAACTATGAGCCTTCCAGATTGCAGGCCAACCACTACAATACCAGGGCTAGCCTCCTGCAAATGAGGTGCTCAGAATTTTAGCACTAATATAGACTATTTGAAGAAAACCACAGCATCAAGATAAAGATTCATTAACTACCTACCATAAGCACATCTTTGATATGTACGACCTTGTTACTTAAAGTGAAAATGACATTTAAAAAAAATAATTTTATTGGGGGCTCATACAGCTCTTATCACAATTCATACATACATCCGTTGTGTCAAACACATTTGTACATATGTTGCCATCATAATTTTCAAAACATTTTCTTTCTACTTGAGCCCATGGTATCAGCTCATTCTTCCACCCCCACCCCTCTCCCTCATGAACCCTTGATAATTTTTTTTTTCCATGCCTTACCCCAACCACTGTCTCCTTTCACCTACTTTTCTGTTGTCCATCCCCCGAGGAGGGGGTTATAGATCGATCATTGTGATCGGTTCTCTATTTTCTCCCCACCTTCCCCTTACCCTCCTGGTACCACTACTCTCATTATTGGTCCTGAGGGGTTTATCTGTCCTGGATTCCCTGTGTTCCCAGTTCTTATCTGTACCTGTGTACATGCTCTGGTCTAGCCGGATTTGTAAGGTAGAATTGGAATCACGATAGTGAAAGGCAGAAAGCATTAAAGAACTAGAAGAAAGTTGTATGTTTCATTGGTGCTATACTGCACCCTGACTGGCTTGTCTCTTCCTTGTGACCCTTCTGTAAGGGGATGTCCAGTTGCCTACAGATGGGCTTTGGGTCTCCACCCTGCATTCCCCCTCATTCACATTGATATGCTTTCTTGCTCCAGGTCTTGGATGCCTGATATCTGATCCCATCAACACCTTATGATTACACAGGCTTTTATGCTCCTTCCCTGTAGACTTTGTTGCTTCTCAGCTAGATGGTCGCTTGTTTATCTTCAAGCCTTTAAGACCCCAGGCACTATATCTTTTTTTTTTTTTTTTTACTATATCTTTTGATAGCCAGGCATCACTAGCTTTCTTCACCACATTTGTTTATGAACCCATTTTGTCTTCAGTGATCATGTCAGGAAGGTGAGTATCACAGAATGCCAGGTTATTAGAACAAAGTGTTCTTGCGCTGAGGGAGTACTTGAGTAGAGGCCCAATGTCTGTCTGCTATCTTAATACTTAACATATAAATATATGTACATAGATCTATTTCTCTATCATTATATATAAAAATATTTACATATGTAACATGCCTGTATTTAGTCCTATAAATGTCCTTTACCTCCTAGTTATTTCCTCTATTTCCTTTTAGTTTCCTCTTGTCCCACTATTTCATGTTCAGCCTTCATTCAGGTTTCAGTGATTCCTCTCAGTTACATTGCCGTTGATCAAGCCACACCAGGCATCCTATATCCCCCTTGCCATCAATTTCTATCAATTGTTGTTTCCTTGTCCCTGGGTTGGTTGGCACCCTCTTCCTTTCCCCCACCTACCCCTCTCCCATGTG